GGGGGGGCACGGCGAGGTGTGGGGCGAGGCAGCCGCGGGCGGGGGCAGCGCCGTGTCTTTTGCAAATGCGTTCCCTGCGTGGCTGATTTCTCACAGTACAAAAAGGGAGCGCCCTGAGCCGGATGTCAGCCAGCGGCTTCTATTCACGCATACACGAGAAATGAAGTATCCCATCCAGGGTCGACATGTTCCAACTGACTGTTCCATCGCCGTGAATGCCACTGCCCCAGAAAAGGGGCTCCACAAGTCTTAAGTGAGCAGCGGTGCTGTGATGGAGCGCCATTGCCTGTGGCGGTCTCAACCTCATCCTTCCAGTTAGGTGGTTTTGTAGGCCTTAACACATGAAATTATTACGGTTTTTGATGTTGCAATAAAGATTGATGATTGATTGATGTTGCAATTATCCTCCACATACTTTTTGACTTCTGATAAGTTCCTGGCCTCAGCAATGAGTCCGTAAAATAACTTCAAGTTGGGTGAAAAATTCTTCCTATTGCCAATTTTGAGTAAGCCATCTGTCATTTTAGCTGGATGTTCATCATCTCTTCCTACCTCTCCATACCAGCCCTTACCTTACACAGTTCTATCACATCACCTACCGCTCTCATCAGTCACCTTCTTTGGTGTCTCTTCATACAATAACTTTTCCATGGCCCTCCCTCTTCCAACAAGCTTCTTTGACTTCTAACCCTTCAGTGTCCTGGGGAGGTGCAGGAACTGGTTCTTCCCACAGCATTCCAGAGGAAGCCTCACTGTCGTTTTGAATGATGGCATGTAGCTTCCAATTTAATCTCCATCTCCCTCCCAATGCACCCTAACAACACTTTTTGCAGCCGCACCACGGTCATAAGTTTTAACGTGTTCATCTCGATACCCTGGTTTTGCTTTGGGTTGATACAGACAGTGCTTTGAAAACCCAAAGCATTACATGGAGCCTTGAGCCAGCTTGGTTTTAGCCATGACAAGTGTGTGTTTCCTGAACATGAACTCCTTTTTGTTCCACAAAAACGTTTCTTACTGATTTATTTCAGAAACTTGAAAGGATCTTTCTCATATAGACTGTGAACGTTTAAAGACATCGTGCCTAGAGGCTCTTCTCTAGCCCCTATCTTGTTGGCCCACTGAATTCTATAACGCAGTGCTTTTATAAAGGCGGTGAGGAGTCATGCAAAGACATTATTTCACATCACAGCATGTCCAGGGATTTGGGGATTCTACAGTCTCTAAAGACTCACAAACACAGTTTGGATGATTTAATTATATGATTTTAACTATATTACCTTAGAATTGAACAAAGGCGATGTAATTACAGTAGAAGGACTATTAGTCTAATGTGTAACTGCTTGTATTGCTAGAATTTATTTCATTATACAGGTATTAAGCCACTTTCCCCAGTATAACAGTTTTCCCTCCGGAGTGTGGTACAAACTGAAGTATATTCCATCTTCTCCTAAACCAATACAGTTTGTAGAAAAGCTGCATGTAGACAATCCCCAGGTAACCGGGCAATGGGGATGCTCAGGCCTTTTCATACCGATAAAGACTTCTTTTCAGAGATGTAATTGCCTGCATTCTTGGCTCAGTTGTCTGTGGGGTACCCACATTATCTGGGTTAAGTTGCCCAAACTCCCTTCTTTTAAGACCATAAACAGGAATTATGAGCAAGGCGATTTCCCCTCACCATGAAAGCCATGGTTGTCCCAGCTGCGGCTGAATCACTTCTATTCATCTTTACAGGGTCTTGCAGAGACGTGCTACTTTTTGAGCGCCCATTACTTCTCCGGGCTTACACAGCTCTGCCAGTATCTTCACCTATTCACAGCTGTGTAAACAGCTGAGCCTTCATTCAGCCTTGGATTTGGTATTCCAGCTTCTGTTCTGTGGTTGCCTTTCCTACCTGAAACCACCGGCGAAGGCCCCCAGGAGCAGCGCAGGTCAGCCTGTGTGCGCTTGGCACAGCTGCAGGCAACCTCTGTGCAGGCCTTGGCCTTCTACAAAGATCTTAAGGCAGGGAAATCCTGTACCTGGTGGACGGAACAGGGGCTTTGTGATCTACGCCTCCAGGCTTCCCACATCAGGTGCTTGGAAATGCATCTACTCCTGTTTCAGCTCAGCCACGAGGAAAAAGCTCTGGGAGCAGAGGTGAGGGCCGGCCTGCAGCCAGCCCTTGGCAAGCAGCCCTCCCTCCCTCCC